AATTATATAGTCACACAACATAAATTTGAGATCGTCACAAAGTGATAAATGTGATAAAGAGAAATTCCACCATGCTAGTATTCCTAAAGAGCCAGAATGCTGTCTCATCAGTAAATATTGTTTTATTCCAGCCATCTTCTAAGTGCTTTTGCGCCCATTCTACTTGTTGTTGTTTATGGGCTTCAATTAACATTGGGGTGGACTGCAGTAACTTTTTATTGTAACCAAGACTTGCCAAGTGTGCTGCAATTGTTGTATATGAGGCCTCTACACCTTTTACAGCCAATTTTGTCTCTATAGAACACAGAGAAATAGTGGAGTCACTGACTGATGTGCTGTGCAATATTAGGGGTGATTTTTTAGGACAACCAGCCCCTTTCTTGTGATCCAAATTACCAATTTCTTCCAAATGTTTCAAGTTGTTATAGATAGTTTGCATTGGAATCCATGTTGTTTTGTGGATTTCTTTAGGAGGATGAGTTCATATGTTCCAAAAATGTAATATAGTTTCTTGTTGTGTTTCCAGTTTGGATTTAATCATTTTAATAAAACAATTTTCGATATGTAGTTTTTAAAAAACTTTATATTAATAATAAAAATCAAGAGATATTTTTGACATTTAAAATAAAAAAAGATTATCTGATTTGGCCTGATTTTGGTAAAGTTATATGAATTCAAGTTTTTGCAATTTTTTTGCCAATAATTTCTTTACACACTGTATTATCAATAAATCAATCAATTATATTAATCAATCAGTAATATTTATATTAAGATTTATCTAGGTCCTATTATTATTTAGGCTTACAAATTCCAATTATTTAAATGAAGATTTGACTTTAATTCAGTGGTATGATTTTAAATTCCAAAAAAGATTTTATAAATATGAATGTCCCTATCTTAAATTAATTAAGAATTATAACATTATTGACATGAATGCAATTGTTTCAAATGTTTATATTATTCCACATCATAACCATCGGAATGCATTTTTTGTGAATAGATTTATTCTTTTAATTCATTATATTATTGCTATTTAACATAAAATGTCAAATTGATTTTATTTTACAGAAAGTAATTCTACCATAAAATTTTATTATTATTAAATAATGCTTATTTATTATAGTAATGATAAAAATATTTTCATAATAAATAACAAGTTGCAATATTTACATTATTTAGTGTTTTCATTATTTATTAAAAAATATTTTAACTATCTAATGTTATCAGGCAAACAGCACTATTAAGCTATTTTTGGTTGCTTTGTTATTTTAGGTATAAAATGACGTCAATATGATTGATATATTATTTATATAACATTTCTATAAGATATAAATTAATCATATAATTAAACTTAATAAACAGTGACGTTTGAAAGAATAGCTTAATAGTGATTGCCCGATAACATCGATATTGGACGTACGATGGACAATTTCAGTGACATCAAGGATGTTATGATATTGGCCGTTGCGCGCCTAATATCTTTTAAATAGCTGAGTTTTAAATAATATTATTTGCTACAATTTATACTATCTACTGCATCTAAATAAGTAATGAATAGTGGTAATGTGCTATGAATGGCACAATACATTTTTAATTTCCTGATGATGATTTTCTGCAGTGATGAAATGCTAATTCCGTCCATGCTAAAAACAAATTCCGCGTGCGTACTGTGCCACTATTCTACATAATCCCCGTTATAACATCTATACATTATAATTTTATAGATAATAAATATTAAAATCTATATATTGATATATTAAAAAATAGCAATTAAAGCAGTGGTTAGAAGAATTTAAAATAAAATATTTATTTATTAATCTTAATTGGAAGGATGAACAAATATAAGAAAAAAAACACCAGAGCAATTGCAAAGGAGAGAAATACTCGGATTACCTGTTCTGGCGCAAATCTATACTATTTTTATTATTATTAACCAATAATGTCATTATTAATATCTTGATTTTTTTTTTACCCTTCATCTCTTTAATCCTTTTATATTTGTTGTTGTCATGTTGTCAATTTGAAATTAAATTTTGGGGTAGGATGTTTGGATACAAAACTCTGATTGGCTAATTTGACGCGTAAATTTCAAATTTTTTCAAATTCACGTACAACATATTAACCAATTCTAAATTGCTTCTCTGTTTTTTTTTTCTTATGGTTGGTCTTTTACAAGTAGAAGTCCTTGATAGTGGAGGCAGAAATCCTCTTCAGATAATTCATGAATTTCAATTGCCATTTTGTTAAATGAAAAATCTGAATCAAATTAATTATTGTCAATATTTTAAAATGTAGCAAAAAACCAAGCATTTTGTTAAATATTAAAAATTTTATTCAGATTTTAAATGTAAAAGTGAGTGAGTGAATTGATGTTGTTTTTATTATAAATTCTTGTGTATGTTTATTAAATGGTTTATTATAATGTTTACAGTAAATCAGATAAAAAAAACACATCTTAAATACGTTTATTTATTATTATGAAATGTATTCATCCAAACAAGGTTTTTCTATAATTTAACCCCGGAATCTTTATTCCACTTTGTTGTGGCCTGACCATTTATATACACATATTACAATAATTAACGGGGAAAATTATAAATAAACAGAATGTGTGATGAAAAAATGTTTTGTTGTTGTTGTTTGATGATGATAACAATGACAATGAAGAAAAAAAATAAATTATGTATAATCTCTTCCACTTAAAGGCTTGAAAATACTCCATGTGCCAATTTACAATGAATTTTGCTGATATCAAGATCTATCGCATAACAAACAAATGCTGCATCAACCCTATAAAATAAATAAAATAGATATAATTTTTTATTTGTTAGAATAATTTCTATCAAACAAAAAAAAAAAAAGATAAATATATATATATATAAATGTAAATACATACGTATTCATCATTATACATGTATAAAATCTT